GCCAGTTTATTATGACCACCTGACGTTTGTAGGCAAATGAGCTATAATTTGGCGCTGAAGTTGCTAGAGGGCCAGACCATTATAAAATGGGAAGCAGCTAGAGGGCCAGACCATTATAAATAGGGAAGCAGGTTGTTTACCACGACAGTAGAAATGATTTGTTTCGGAAGATACGGGGAAACAACGCGATTTAACAGCCTTTGAATGTGGCATGATTGTTGGCGCTGGAGCCATGGAGCGAGTATCAGCAAAACAGCAGAATTCGTTAAATGTTCAGGAGCAGCTGTTGTTAAAGTGTTTAAAGACCGGACTGTCAGCTGAAAATCTGGGTCTGAACGTGCGAATTGTGGCCGTCAGCGACTAGTCAATGTTAGGGCAGAACGGGGGAGGGGCAAGAATGGTACAAGACAAACGAAGGGCAACAGTGCAGTGTACGATTCCTCACATCACCTTTCATCATCTTGTGGAGTCAATGCCAAGAAGAATCGCTGCACTATTGAAGGCAAAAGGTGGCCTAACAAAGTACCGATGGGGCGGTCATAATAATCTGGCCACTCAGTGTATATGGTATGCAAAGAATACAAAGCCGGCAATGATCTAGAAGTAACTGTGTGTAGATTGTCATCACTAAACATTTCTAAAGGTGTGTTTGATGTCATTTTAAAGATATGGGTAAAGTTCCCCTTTAAGAGAAGAACAACTGTGAAGCACGGTGGTGGAAATGGTATGGTCTGGGGTTGCTTTGCTGCTTCAGGGCCTGGACAGGTTGCTCTGTACAGCACGGTGATGATGTCACTTTTACGAAGGCATTGGGTGCACACAAGGTGGATTGATCTCCTTCGTGGCTGTTGTGGAATATATTTCAGTGAAGGTTTGTGTGCCACTTTGATTATAATGATCAGAAAATAACGAGCCAATACGAGCAGAGTCAATATCTATCTAGATCTGTATTTTTCGAGGTGTATATGTACAAGATTCCTAGACGTCTCTGTTATGATGATGATGGTCTGTAAAGAATACACACACACATGCCCAATGCACATGTCCTTTGTACATGGTATTAATATAACCAATCCATCATATATATATATATATATTCTCTGATACAAACCTAGAAAATTAAAGTGCACCATCCATCTTCCTGATCACAATATGCTGCAAAAGGGCTGAGAGGGGGGATGGGCACTTCTCTTGTATCCTTCAGTGATAAACGTGTGACGGTAGATTCTGGAAGGGTGTTGTTGCCCTTTAAGGCCTGCGCCATTTAAAGGGGACCTCTAGCCAAGGCCGCGGCTTTATTTTGGTAGAGAGAGCAAAGAAGGAACATCTGCTTGTTACTTCTGTCTTGTCCCCATTTGGGAGATCTGTCCATGTCTTCCTGTCTTTGTGACAACCATGCCCCCTCTCCCACCCCTCCCGTTTCCTGTATGGGCGTCACCAGCACAGGAAGTGCGGGCAAATTTGTCCCAGTGGGGACAAAAACAGCAATGAACTTTAAAAAAAAAAATATATAATTCCCTGTTCATTTTTATCTTAATTTGGGCTGAAGTTCTGTTTGTAAAAATATCAGGTTTTTATTTCTATCAGGGAACCCATTGGGGATATCGTCCCGCACTTCCTGTCCCTGTGACGCCCGTACCGGAAACAGGAGGGGGGAGAAAGGGCATGGTTGTCACAAAGACATGGACAGATATAAAAACATTGTTACAAATTCTAACCCTTCCCTTACAATGGGTGTCCCTGATATAGAGATTATCCATCACTTCCTACCCTGACAGGAAGTGAGAGGAAACACCATAAAAAAAAAACCTTCTATAGGCGCTAACCCTTCTCTTCAAAACAAAATAAAAGGTTTGGGTGAAGCTGGACTCCATTATTATTGAGTACGCACATTGCCATGGCCCATTCAAGGAGGTTAGGTTGTGGGAGATTTAGGTGTCACTTGCTTTGGTGTTCTGAGAAGCTAAAAGAGGTGCGTGTCCGGGTGAACGGGGCCCTGACTGCCCCACAGGCCGTTGCCATGGAGGCACACCGGACCTGAGCAGTCCTTAAAGATGGCACCTCCGACATACAAGGGTAGACAACCTGGGCACTCCAGCTGAAACTACAAATCCCTTCATGCCTCTGCCTCCAGGAGTCATGCCTGTGGCTGTCAGAGTCTTGCAATGCCTCATGGGATTTGTAGTTCCACAACAGCTGGAGGGCCAAGGTTGCCTACTAAACCTTTATCACTGGAAGATCCAAGTCTACCGGCCCCCCTCGGCCCTCTCACATTCACAGCATTATGTTTATGAGTACAATCCCCCCCCCACCCCCGATATCTTTCCAGTCCAACATACAATGAGATGAGGTCAACGTATAGAGAAATATTCCTCTGTGTATAGGTAGAGAGCGCCTCGCACTCCCCATACATATGTATCCAGTATCTGATTATTATATACAAAGAGCATTAAGGCAGCACACAGCGACACGGACAGGCTCCCCCCCACCAGGCAGTGCGCAGACATCAGTGCGCAAAGTGCAGTAACCCATAGCAACCAGACTCCAATATACTGCCGGCTGGCCAGCTAGGCCTCAGCTAATGACAGAATAAGTATAGTAAAGGGGCAATGAACTGACAAGCGTATGAAGTGTATGCAGGGGGCTCCATGTGCCTTTCCCTCCATTTTCTAAAGGGAATCCGTTCCCGAATAGGCAAATTACAGGTTCTCTTTAAAAAACAATTCACAATATATAAGTTGTACTAGAAATTTTGTATCCATCTGTATAAAGCGCGTCTGATACATTTATGGTTCGTTCACTTTACTTTTGGAGATATGGGTAAATTTCCACCTTAAGTAGTTGGTTTTGGAGATATGGGTAACAGAAATCTATTGGCTTCTTAAGGTGGAAATGTACCCATATCGCCAAAATCGACTACTTAAGGTGGAGACCTTAAGTAGCTAATTTGGAGATATGAATACATTTCCCCCTTAAGTCGCTGATTTTGAATATATTGGCTAATTTGCCAGCTTAAGTAGCTGATTTTGGAGCTATGGGTAAATTTCCACCTTAAAGGAGACCTATGAGGTGAGTGCTTTTCACTCACCTCATAGTTCTAGCCGACCTGTGACAATGAGATTGTCACAGGTCGGCTCAGTAGATCGGGAGGTGAGCGAACACATAACGGCGTTCGCTCACCTCTCGATCCTGTCACGGCTCTCTGCCATGACAGGGGAGGGGCTGGATTCCCCTCTCCGATCCGCCAGCGCTGGCTGGCGGAACGGACAGGGGAGGGGGCGGGTACAGCTGGCTCTGCCTCTGCCTCTAGATAGGCAGAGCCAGCTGTCAGTCACGCAGCTGGGCGGATCCCGGCACAATTGTCGGGATCCGTTCAGCTGCGGCGTCTCAGTATATAGGGAGCTGCTGCTCGCGGTATACTGAGCTTAGGGTGACGGGAGGACGCTAGTTTGTGTCCTCCCGTTACCCTAAGGAGAACTATGGGGAAAAGCCTTAACCCCATAGTTCACCTTTGAGCTGATTTTCTTTATATGGCTAAATTTCCACCTTAAGAACCTATGGGTAATGGGACATCTATCAGCTTCTTAAGGTGGAAATGTACTCATATCTCCAAAACTGGCTACTTAAGGTTGAAATTTACCCATATTTCCAAAATCAGCTACTGAAGGTGGAAATAGGCGTAAATTTCCACCTTAAGTAGCAAATTTTGGAAATATTTGTTCATTTCCACCTTAAGTTGCTTGTTTTGGAGTATGGCTAAATTTCCACCTTAAGGAGCTGGTTTTGGAGATATGGGTAACAAGACATCTATTGGCTTCTTAAGGTGGAAATGTACCCATATCGCCAAAATCGACTACATAAGGTGGAGACCTTGAGTAGCCAAATTTGGAGATATGAGTATATTTCTACCTTAAAGTGACATTAAACCGTCAGATTTTTTAACATAAACCAATACTGTAATGTGTGCCTTACTGTAATCCATGGTTGTTTCCCTTCTCGTTGCTGCTCTTCCTTTTAAATCCTCATGTCTTCTCATGCTTGGGGAGAACTTCCCTTTGCAGCAGACTATCTCTTCCTGTAGTGCTGGCTCAGGTTACAAGCCTATACAAACCTATACACAGACACCGTGTATCCATTCCTGAGACAAGGCAGTCTGCTGCAAAACAGAAGTTCTGCAGAGCATGAGAAGACATGAGGATTTAAAAGGAAGAGCAGCAAAGAGAAGGGAAACAACCATGGATTACAGTAAGGCGCACATTACAGTATTGTTTTATGTAAAAAAATCTGAGGGTTTAATGTCACTTTAAGTCGCTGATTGTGAATATATTGGCAAATTTGCCAGCTTAAGTAGCTGATTTTGGAGCTATGGGTAAATTCCCACCATAAGTAGCTGATTTTGGAGCTATAGGTAAATTTCCACCTTAAGTAGCTGATTCTGGAGCTATGGGTAAATTTTCACTATAAGTTGCAGATTTTGGAGATATGGGTAACAGGACATCTATTGGCTACTTATGGTGGAAATTTACCCATATCTCCAAAATCGACTGCTTAAGGTGGAGACCTTAAGTAGCCAAATTTGGAGATATGGGTAAGTTTCCACCTTAAGTAGCTGATTTTAAAGATAATGCTAAATCTTTATCTTAAGTTGCTGATTTTGAATATGTGGGTAGTTTGCTAGCTTAAGTAGCTGATTTTGGCGCTATAGGTAAATTTCCACCTTAAGTAGCTGATTCTGGAGCTATGGGTAAATTTCTACCTTAAGAACCTATGGGTAACGGGACATGTATCAGCTTCTTAAGGTGGAAATTACTCATATCTCTAAAATTAGCTACTTAAGGTGGAAATGTACCCATATTTCCAAAATTGGCTACTAAAGTTGGAAATAGGCATAAATTTCCTCCTTAAGTAGCCAATTTTGGAGATATGAGTACATTCCCACCTTAAGTTGCTGATTTTGGCGCTATAGCTAAATTTTCATCTTAAGTAACTGATTTTTGATTGGCCACTGAAGGTTACTGCAGTTTGCATGTCGCTGTTGGCCTGAGCACCGCACTTGTTGAAGTAGCCCGAGCACAGACATATTTCATCCAAATCCATCGGCGTGTGACACCTATACATTCCCCGTAATATTCCCCGCAGACTACAAGTGAATCATGCCTAGCACCCACACCTATATAGACAATATCTACAGACATTATTGCAGCTATACGTACAGGATAAAGCATCGAACCCCTATATATACCAAGCCAGAGCGCCCGTCCAATCCACAGGCTCTGTTCAGCGTTGCACCCTTCTCCCGCCCTCCCCCTTTGTATGCCAAGAGTCTAGCAGCTGCACCCGCTGGTCGTTTTCCTGGCGTTTTGCAGACACACTCGGAAATCCGTCGCGGGGAATGAACATCTTATGCACACGGCATCACGCCGCCCCCCTCCTTTTCCAGGCAGTGGTGGCAGGTGCAGAGCGATCCGGAGTTCCTCTTTTATCATCTGGCCGAGCTGTCCGAAGATGGGGCGTCGCGGTCTGAGTCTTCGGGGTCCTCGTTGCAGGCGGATTCGCTGCTGGGTGGAGGAGACCTGACGAAAGAAGGCGTAGTCCAACTTTTTACAAAATTTAAATGCGCCAACAATTAATTAATAAACAAATGAACATTTCTTATATTTTTACTCCATTTTACGGACATTTACGGTACCCATGACTACAAAGTAACTCAATAGAAATAGACATTTTATTCGTTCAATTTAAAAATCTTTTACATTACATAAAAAAAATGTCATAGCAATAGTAGTGATCAACATTCAAAGAACACTTATATTTTTGAACCTGAGCCCCTCCAAACCTTGAAGAAGCCCCTGCAGTGGGCTGCAGGGGCTTCAAGGTTTGGAGGGGCTCAGGTTCAAAAATATATTGGCGGGCTGCAGTGACAGCATTGACCTTATATGGCTACATGTCTATATTTGGTACATGACACTTACCTAATATGGGCGGGCTGCAGTGACAGCATTGACCTTATATGGCTACATGTCTATATATATATATATATATACACATACAGGTGAAACTTAGTGAGGTAGCTGCATTTTCTGCAGTCAGATGATGGTTTTACCTCTCTTCTGATTGGTTGATCAGTCTCCGGCATGTCTCCATCTGCACATCGAGCCCGCGCTTCATGCTGCACATCTCCATGTATTCATGCAGGTGACGGGTCATGTCGTCCTTCGCCGTGGCCAGCTCCAGCTGTAGATCCAGCACAGGGTTACATTAACCTTTTATTAAAATATTTAAGGACATCATTTTTTTTGCATTGGGTAGGTTAGGAAATGATTAAAAACCCCGTCAGTTTTTTAAAAAGTTTTTTTATAAGGTGGTTGTGACTTAGTTTACTTTAGATTTTCTTATGAAAAGGTGAACTTCCCCTTTAACATCACCATTCCCAAAATGTGTTCTTTCAACTGCTAAATAAAGTCACCAATAACTCAAAAGTAAAAATTATATTGCGCAATTTGTTTATTTATCAATCAAGACTGAAAAAGCTGCTTTAAAGAAGAACTCCAGTTATTTTTTTCTAATTAACCCTTGCAGAGGGGCTACCCCCGGCACTGCAAGGGTTAGGCGCTCGTTTTGGTCCAGGGTCTAAAATAAAGACGATATACTCACCTGATCCTTGGTCCTGCAGCAGTGACCGTTCACCTGTCTCTCCCTCTATGGCCTTGCTGTGGTGTGCACATCGGCATCCTCACGTCTAAGAGACTGCATTAGACATGATAACATCACGGGGGAGCCCCAGCCTCTTCTTCCCCGCGCTCTGACAGTCTAAGGACCATTGATGTTATCATCTAATGCAGGTCTATTAGACGTGACGATGCCGATAGGCACACCCAGGGGTGTATCTACCACAAGGCAAACTAGGCATTTGCCTAGGGCGGCACATTCCTCCACAGTGGGAGACGGGTGAACGGTCACTGCTGCAGGACCGAGGATCAGGTGAGTATATCTTCTTTATTTTCACCCCTAGACCAAAACGAGCACCTAACCCTTGCAGTGCCAGGGGTAGCCCCCTTCCCCCCCCTCCCCCATGTTAAAAAAATCCTCTTTAATTCACAAATGAATACAAAGGAGGACCCGGTCGTCACTCACGCTGACAGCGCAGTCATGTAGATTACACAGGAATGTATGACCATTGGTGCTCTGCTATGACAGCCGTCACTTGTCACTTCCACAGCCGTCACTTGTCACTTCCACACATATGATGCTCCTGATACAGAGCAGGTGGCTGTAACACTGATAGTGGGTCTCTGATGATTACACCAGGATTGCTGTGTTCTCCCAGTGACATCTGCAGGACTAGACCATCAGTTTGATGGTTCAGTCCTGCCCAGAGTAATAGGCGGTCGGGGCATTTTGGCTACTGCCACCTAGTCCCCCCCCCCTTCCCAGCACAGCATTTTCTTGCGTGGTCCTGGCCCTGTGGCCAGCTTAACGTCTCTTACCTCGATCTGACCTATGGTCTCCTGGTATTCCTTCTCCCGATTCTTAAAGAGAGATTCCGTATCTTTTATCACCTCCTCCAGACTGTCATCCTGAGCCTGACACAAAGCAAAGTCACAAGAGGACAATGTTATAGTTCCCGGGATTGACATTCTGCACCTTCAGCACTACAATGGACTGTAAATGACATTCATTATGAAGATCATCCATACAATATGATCCATTGTAATTCATTGTTTGGTTTCCTTTCATTTCTCCTCTTTTCACCAAGGGCTCATGCCCACTGACATGCAGGAATAATGGTAACAGGGATGTTATATAGGAGGGGTAGGCAACCTAAATATTCCAGCTGTAGCCAGGGATGTTATATAGGAGGGGTAGGCAACCTTGGTGCTCCAGCTGTAGCCAGGGATGTTATATAGGAGGGGTAGGCATCCTCGGCACTCCAGCTGTAGCCAGGGATGTTATATAGGAGGGGTAGGCAACCTAAATATTCCAGCTGTAGCCAGGGATGTTATATAGGAGGGGTAGGCAACCTGAGCACTCCAGCTGTAGCCAGGGATGTTATATAGGAGGGGTAGGCAACCTGAGCACTCCAGCTGGTGCTGAACTACAAGTCCAATGAGGCATTGCAAGTCGTTGGTCATGGCGTCACCCACCAGTTGTTTTTGGACTAAGCAGTCAAGAGTGCGATGTGTTCATGGACTATTGCAAGACTCTGAGTGTCCCAGAAACAAATGCACGATGGGATTTGTAGTATACTACAGCTGGAGGATCGAGGTTGCCTACCCCTGTTATATTGCATTTATGTATCGTAATTATAGTTCCTTCTGCTGAGGTAAATAAGGGGAATGTTGTATTTTCAGGGCTAGGCAACCTCTGCACTCCAGCTATGGTGGAACTACAAGTCCATTGCAAGACTCTGAGAGCCACAGACATGACTCCCAGAAGTATGATGGCATTTATAGTTCCATTATAGCGGGAGGTTCGAGGTTGCCTACCCCTGTTATGTTGCAGTTTTATATCCAATATACTGTTCTTTCTGCTGTGGGAAATGAGATCTTACCTCTCCTTGATGCTCACCAGCCGACATTGCATATCCGGAAAAGTCCTCCCACAATAACAGAGTCTCCTCGGTCTCCTCCCAGGCCAGGCTGTCGCAGTCATCCTCGAAATCATAATCCCTCCTGCAAGACAAGAGTGAATGGCTATTACAGACCCTATAAAGGCAGACATCCCAACCTGCAAAACCTTATTTCAGGGAGGTTCCCGTCTCATTTCAGGGAGGTGCCCTTTCTGTTTTTTGGGTTGTTTTTTTACAGCGGCCGTCGCCAGAATGTAAAAGAAATAACATTAATTTATATATATACATACATCAGATTTGTGAATTGATGTTTAAGTATCTGTCAGTGTAAAGGTCACAATTTATTAGACAGGACAAGACCTTTTTAAAAAACCGCTGAGGAGTGAAGTCCCTGATACACAGCTGACTAGTTGCTATGGGCAGCAAATAAAATAAATATTCTCTATAACTAGACAACCAGGACATATAACAGCACTCTCTCAACCCTGCAGTAGTAGATCTCAGTGACTGTACCTGCTCTCAATAGTAGTCTATGTCCGCCCTCCCTGTGCAGCAAGTAGCTTCTTCCTTCTGAGAGCCAAGCCTCGTTCTGAGGCTACTCTAGAGATCACATGGCCTTCCTCCAGGAGGCAAGCCTCACTCTGAAACCTTACCCACTGATATCTTACCGGAAAGGTTTACTCAGAGTAAACCTTTCAGGAAGAAAATGCCTCTCTCGCGGACATCAGGGAGCTGCTGTCCAAAAGAGGGAGACTCCCTGAACATCAGGGACACTTGAGATCCCTGTAAAGGGAATTGAAAGAAAAGCAGGATATTACGGCACGGCTTGCTCATCTGACAAGTAAGGGAGCCATGCACGAAACCCAATTATTAACTCTGCTCTTGCCAACCACAGGACCCCCATTGTGTGACATGAAATATCAAACAGAGTTGATAGAACTCACACATCTTGGGAAGGATTGGGGGTGTAACCAGGGCCGGATTTCCCACAAGGCCAACCGAGGCTCGGCCTTGGGGCAGCAGGGATTAGAGGGGCAGCAGGAGTGTGGAATTCCTATCTCCCGATGGCCGGGACATGCAGTTCCAGGTGCCGGGCGGGTAGTTGTTTTCTACATTTAGCCCTGTTTTGGGCAAGCAGAGCTAAATGTACAGCAGGGAAGCCGCTGCTTGTTTTGTACAAGTGATCTCGGCCATGTTGCAGAGATCACTTGTATGCAGCCTGCATACAGGGGGGCGCATTGAGGAACCTGGCATTGAGGCAGCAGAGAAAGTAAAGCCCTGGGTGTAAAGTCACATCTAAAATTAAGAACCCTTCAAATGCACCGCATCTATCTATCTATCTATCTGTCTAACTATCTATCTCACATTTTAGAGTGGAAATGATGTCACGATGATGTCACACCTTGATTTCAGTTGGTCTGTACTTGTTTATCAGGGTTTCTGTCACTCTAATTACCACCAATGCCTCCATGATGGGACATGTTCCTTAAGCATGGCACTGGAACTTTTCTATGATCGATTATAAGCACTCGGTGAAGTTAAAAAGTTGCACTGGGAACATATGTGCTTCCCAATCGCGTTTAAACAGCTTTGCTGGCTTAAGATATAAGAATGCACAGGTAATCTTTATTAAAAATACTACATTATCACTATCACACTATCATTATATGTTTAAATATAGTTATAAAAGCTTGAGCTGTAGAGGTGTATGTTGACCACCGCCATTGCCTTCTGTGCCCACTAGGTGGCAGGCTTGTACTTTCTATTCATGAAGATGCCGGGAATGCGGCTGATCAATGAAGACTTCTGCAACAATCAAAAGTAACAATGAAACCGTCTTATGTCAGACCTGAGCAGAATGATCAGTTCTGTGACTGATTACAGAACTGCAGCTAAATCTATAAATTGCTGATAATGCAATGTATTGATTTGTTCTACAACCCCCATACAGTGGACATGGATCCAGTGCACTGCAAATGAACTATTTTAGCTTAATTTGGGGGAAGCAAGAATCAAATCTTTAACATTAAGGATCTTTATTTTAGCCATGTGATTGGAATTTTCAGATTTCCTTGGACTATAAATATCTGTCTCTAAATATAAATCAATCAATCAATGTATCTATCTGTCTCATCATCCTGGTGTGTTAGCCTTGTGAACTGGGCACATTATTTATTAGAAGGAATGCCATAGCAGGCATTGGTAATTGAGTGGTGTAGCACTGAGTTCAGTCCTGTCAAGTGATATTGGATGTACATGGAGGACTTGTCAAGATATCAAATCATTTATAACGTGCGGCAGTATATATTGCTTGTGTCTAATGTGGGTTTTCAACACATATAGGACTATATACAAATAAAATGGGCCCGTGGTGCCAGCCTGCTGGAGAGTTTATATAATCTTAGGTTTTAAAAGAGAACTATGGCCAAACCTTTTTTTGCCATAGCTCTATTTCGGGTCACAGGAGGACATTTACTATTGTCCTCCTGTGACCCAAAACTCAGCATATAGCAGGCTATTGCCTGCTATATGTTGACTGCGAAAAGCCGCGATGCAGCCGGGGAAGATTCCAATAATATTGTCGGGATCCACGCTGCTACCTGATTGACAGCTGGCTCTGCCTCTCTAGAGCCAGAGCCAGCTATGCCCGCCCCCTCCCCTGTCTGTCCCTCCAGTCAGCGCTGGAGGAACGGAGAGGGGAGGGGGGAATCCTCGAGGGAGCAGTGACTGAAAGTTGCCACTCTCTGCAGGGAGAAGATCGTGAATTCAGTGATCGGCGGTATGTGATCGCTCAATTCTCCATCACTAGAGCCGACCTGTGACCGCTGCAGTGTCACACGTTGGCTCTAACTATGGGGATGAGTTTATTTCACGCTCCCCATAGTTCTCCTTTGTGAGATGAGAAATGAGAGCTCCATTCATTTTATCTGGAAAGGACAACCTAAAATCCTGGGTGGAAAGGAGCAGAGTCTGGAATTATGACAAAGAAGTACCTAAAATATCTAAGAAGCCCGGTGCTGACCCATCCCATGAGGCTCAACCTTCACCTAAAACATCACTTCTAGATGGACTGATCCTTTAGACCGGGTTCACTCTTTACCACTGCAGTGGGTTGTGGCCATGCGTGCAATAATGCCGCCCACAAGACACATTAGGTGCATTAGAGCGTTGTGGTGCCATTCATAATGACAGATACTGTAGATAGTAGGGATGCGCCGATATCGGTTTTTCAGTATCGAGTACGAGTACCGATATTTTGCTGTCGGTACTCGCCGATACCAAGTACTGATACCGGTGCTTCTGCTGGCATGGAGCCGGGTTCTCGGGCAATCAGGAAGCCGGGCAGCGGGTAATGACACGCCGCCCGGTTTCCTGATTTCCCAGAAAGCCGGCTCCATGTTTGGTGGGCTCGATGCTGATTGGCTGGGAAACTGGCTTTCCAGCTATTCAGCATGGAGCCAGCTTCCCGGTCAATCAGGAAGCCGGGAGGCGGGTCATTGCTTGCCGCCCGACTTCCTGATTGCCCGGGAAGCCGGCTCCATGTTCCCCTATGGCACTGTCGGTCAGATAAAATCTTCCTCTGACCAGAAGTCCTGGTAATGGGGAAGGTATCGGAGCATTTGGGCAATATAGATATTTACATGAAGACATGAACATGTACACATTACATACAGCTGGTTTAGCATCTTCTGCATCTCTTCGTTGATACTCAGTGCTGTACTCTCATCCTCTTCCCCTCCCCTCGCGCTCTCACTGTCACACATGGATGTGTCATCATCATGGACCGGTTTCTTCTCTTTCCTTCTCACTTTCATCGGGGAGTGGTGGACGGTCTTGATGAGGACAGGTGAAAAAACATTTTAGTATAAAGATGCATACAATAATCAACAAAACTGTGTTTTAGGGTGTGATGGGTGTCACCAAGAACAGGAAATGAAGGGAAATCTTACCAGTGTGGACACAGCAAAAAAAAAAACTTGTCCAAAGTTCTGTCTTTTCACAACATAAAATATTTTCAGATGCTAAGATTTTGGACCATGTGAAGAGCAATGATTTCAAATGCGTAGTTACCTGCTATATACCGTGTTTCCCCGAAAGTAAGACATCCCCCGAAAATAAGACCTAGCGCTATCTTCGGGGGTGTCTGTAATATAAGACCTACCCCGAAAATAAGACCTGCCAAATGTCTTGGAGTGTGCCTGTGGGAATTTGTGCCCGTTCAGTCAAAAGAGCATTTGTGAGGACAGGTTCCAATGTTGGATGAGAAGACCTGGCTCATACTTGGAGCTCTTGTTTGCTCCAAAGGTGTTCAGTAGGGTTGAGGTAAGGGCTCTGTGGATGCCACGACAGTTCCTCCTCACCAATAATGATGGGCTAGGGCGTGTTCACAGCTCCACGTGCCGAGCCCGCCAGGAAGCTGACAGCGCCAATCACAGGCACTGAGACATTTTTTTGGTCCGCAGCTGCAGAGATCAGGAAATGTCTCCGTGCCTGTGATTGGCGCTGCGCACTGTCAGCTTCCTGGCGGGCTCGGCACGTGGAGCTGCGAACACGCCCGAGCCCATCCTTAAGGTGCCCATACACTTTACAACCCTCGGACTTTTGTCTTGCGAGGGTTGTAAAGTAATTTAAAAAACGTACGATCTGCCCATCTTGGATAGGCAGATCGTACCTGCGATCATCACAAGCCCGCCCCCCTGAGGGGCGGGCTTCCGATGACTGCAATGCTGAACGGGCAGTGTGCCCGTTCGGCAATGATCTCTCAATCATGTTAAAAACCAGCCAAAAATCGTGCGATTCTCGGCTGGTTTTCCAACATGCTCGATATACTGAGCTTAGGGTGACGGGAGGACGCTAGTTTATGTCCTCCCGTTACCCTAAGGAGAACTATGGGGAAAAGCCCTGACCCCATAGTTCTCCTTTAACTCACCATACCATGTCTTTATGGAGCTGGCTTTGTACAGTCATGCTGGAACAGAAAATGGCCTTCACCAAACTCTTACCACAAGGTTGGACAAACATGCACAATTGTCTACAATGTCTTTGTGTGCTGTAGCATTAACAGAGCCCTTCACTGGAGACATTTGAACTCAATTGGAGATCTGTCGGCATTTTGGCCATATAGCTTAAATCACACTCTACAAGCTTGGGTTAGTCAGAGCGGAGTCAGGTGAATGATGATGGCTATGGGTGCTGGTGTGTGATCACTGATCTTCAATGACATATATCCTGCTCCAGATCTCAGAACACTCCTTCTCCTCCTGAAAATACTAGTTGCATGGCTGTCATGCGGACTCTGTTGCTTGAATACTTTGAGTTACTCATCCGGAGCAAGTAGACCAATCAGGAGTCAGATAAAAGTCTTGATCTGTATCCTTAATATGGGCAATGACTCAAAGTATTGATGGCCAACTAGCATTTTCAGAGGTTGGCAAATGCATGACAGGTTTACTTTAAGCCATCACGCATCCAGCCTTGCTCAAACAGTACACCTTTTTTTAACATCACACAACACCATGACAACCTGGAAATTCTGACATGTTTTGAACATGCACAACTCCGTCATTTGCCATAACATTTGTTATTTTCAGCCATGCTATTTTCGGATCTAATTTGCAAAAACAGCATTTGTTGCATATAATTATAGTTATCGCAAAAAAATAGGTCTATTTTAAAGGAGAACTATGGGGTCAGGGCTTTTCCCCATAGTTCTCCTAAGGGTAACGGGAGGACACAAACTAGCGTCCTCCCGTCACTTAAAGTTCAGTATACCGCGAGCTACAGCTCAGTATACTGAGACGCCGGATTGGATCCCGACAATTATGTCTGGATCCGCCCAGCTGCGTGAGTGACAGCTGGTTCTGCCTATCTAGAGGCCAGCTGTGCCCGCCCCCTCCCCCGTCCGTTCCGCCAGTCAGCGTTGGAGAATCGGACAGGGGAGGGGGAAATCCAGTCCCTCCCCTGTCACGGCTCTCTGCCGGCACAGGATCGAGAAGTGAGCGAGCGCCGGTATGTGTTCGCTCACTTCCCGATCTACTGAGCCGACCTGTGACAGTTTCATTGTCACAGGTCGGCTCAGATTATGAGGCTGAGTGAAAATCACTCACCTCATAGTTCTCCTTGAAGGATTTGGTCCTCTTTGCTGTTACAGCAGATAGAGGGCTTTTTTTCAGCCATGCTTCTCTCCCGTGTGCAATATGCTGGTCTGCTGGCTTTAACCTCAAATGCATCAGTGTCAGTGTGCATCGGTTAACAAAGTATAACTGATTGCAAATCCTCAAAAATGCTAAAAAATAGGTTAACACTATAATTGTATTAGACAATTGCAGCATTTAGCAGAGGCAAACTGCCTTCTACCACCTGCAGTGGTCTCTGCAAGCTTTTTGTTTTTCCCCCTCAATGATGCCTTCATCTTGCATGTGATCACTATATCATAGCTGACATAGTAATCACATCACTTGATTAGGAACTGCTCTGTTTCTCGATCATTAGTGGGAAATTAAGCCATCATTAAGAGCAGGGTAAAGTGTCACTGATATTTGTCAAAGAGAGGATGTTTACTAATGTATCCTCAGCCGAGGAATGGTACTATACAGATTACAGATTGTGGGTGGGAAGGAATTAAGGAGAATCTGTCACATTGCCCATACAGCTTTCTTGTAAAAAATAACCCCTTAAAGTGACATTAAAGTCAAAAATCTTTTCCCCTCCCCCCAATGTTAATTAAAGCACTTACCTTAAATGATGTTTCTTAATCCGATCTTCTTCTTCTTCCTTCCTGTCCTTTTCAGCTGTCCCTCCAGCGCTGCTGCGGGTCTCCGATCCAGCGCTGACTCCTCTAAGCTTGCTGGCACTTCCTGTCCCACGGTGTCTGCATGCGGGTGCACGCCGTCCATAGACTTACCTTGTGTCTCTCCTCGCGTCCCGGCCGAAAATGTGAACTGCGCATGCGCCCGCCCCAAGATGCTTTGCAGGCCGCTCGAGAATTTTCACATTTTCGGACGTAAGCGCGTGGGGAAGACACAGGTAAGTATTAACCGTTTTTAAAGCATTTTTGTTTTGACACTTTTTGCATAAATCTACTGCTTGCTAGCTACCGTGTTTCCCCGAAAATAAGACAGTGTCTTATATTTTTTTTTCTACGAAAAAAGACACTAGGTCTTATTTTCGGGGGATGTCTTACCTGGCTGCAGCTGTCCGCTCTGCCGTCCAGGGAGCCACAAACAGGTGGGCGGGCATGCGTGCGGCCGGGGTTAATATAAGACCTACCACCGAACTAGGTCTTATTTTTGGGGTAGGTCTTATATTACAGAAATCCCCGAAGATAGCGCTAGGTCTTATTTTCGGGGTAGGTCTTACTTTCGGGGAAACACGGTATATATATATATATGCAAAAAAAACGAAGGGTTTAATAAACCTTTAACTCAATGATACCTTCACTGCAACTCCAACACACACACACACCACTGCTCCATCATGGCCCTTGTCCTTCCAAGTATGTAACTAAGGATGGGCTCGGGTGTGTTCGCAGCTCCACGTGCCGAGCCCGCCAGGAAGCTGACAGCGCGCAGTGCCAATCACAGGTACTGAGACATTTTCCCAGTCCGCAGCTGCAGAGATCGGGAAATGTCTCAGTGCCTGTGATGTGCGCTGTCAGCTTCCTGGCGCGCTCGGCACGTGGAGGTGGGAACACGCCCAAGCCCATCCTTAGTAACCACCTCCCTGGATGAAGGCTTGGGTCTCACCTGACCAGCAGAAGGAAGAAGGTAACCCTTTCTAATCTCCAACACCATGCAACATGGAGCTTACATAGGGTTGGACTACCAGTTCCAACTACACGTTATATAAATCCAAAAAAGTTATTATTGATAAAAAATGTATTAAATTATCTATCATTAGTTAAGTAGTAGAACGTCTTCTGAGGAATAATTCTGTTTTTGGCGCACTTGAAGGAGATTTTTCTCTCACATGCCTATTCATTTGATTATAAATTGAAGAGCTGCTTGAAAACCACATGTTCCCATCCCACACACACACACACACACACCTGTAGCATGTTTATCATGTCTTCACAGCTGCGTTGTTGGGCCACATCACACAGTTTGGCTGTAATATCAATCCGGCGGCAGATGTCCATGTCCACCCGCATGGCCTTCTCCTGGATCTTGGAGTCCAGCTCTGACAGGTTCTAGAAGAGAATTCGGGAGACATTTTATTGAACGGATGGTTTTTTTTATGAGCAAGATATTTCACAATGATTGTCAGTACAGCTGAGGACCATCTCTGTCCAGAGTGAGCTTTTAACTAGAACTAGCGCATACGGAAAATGTTACACGGTCCCCGCACTGTAATCACACGGTGATGGCGGTAGAGAAGGAACCTACAATTTTCCTGATTGTTTGTTTTAAGAGAAGGGATTTTGCATCTGTGATTGTGGCTCTTGTAACTGTTTCCATTACGCAATACATTTTTGTGCTGCATACTATCTGAGCTGTTTTTTTTAAATCAAAGACTATCAGGGTTATTCACAAAAGGGTGACGAGTTTGGAGAAGGCATGAGAAGTTAGGAATCTGGGACAACATAACTGAACTTAAAGGGGGCTGAATTGGAGACTTTTTCCAAATCAGCTATTTTTGCCTAAATTGTTCACTTCTACGGCCTTCTCCAAACTCTTCACCCTTTAGTGAATAGCCATGTTAAAGTTTATCAGCTAGTCTGTCTCTTCCCAACGCTATCCACATTTTTTCCCCAAAGGTTTTGGATAGAGTGTGGAAGGGCTATAACCCATTCCAGGTTTTTATTGTTGTCCTTGCTGGCTACATTCACCTGCTCTATTTGTCCTGGTGACCATTGTCGCTGGGACAGAAGTGATGGGAAATCACACATTTTACAGTTGTCATCAGAACAAGAGTTAAGGGTAAATCTTCCAATGGGGACACATTTCTTAAACTAGCCATACACCTGTAAATTATCTGCATATTTTTTATGGTCAGATGGAAAAAGTGCAACAGATTCCTCCATCTACGCTAAACTGAGTGGATGGAGGAATCTTCCACTGGGCCTGCGCTCGGCACGTGGAGGTGGGAACACGCCCAAGCCCATCCTTAGTAACCACCTCCCTGGATGAAGGCTTGGGTCTCACCTGACCAGCAGAAGGAAGAAGGTAACCCTTTCTAATCTCCAACACCATGCAACATGGAGCTTACATAGGGTTGGACTACCAGTTCCAACTACACGTTATATAAATCCAAAAAAGTTATTATTGATAAAAAATGTATTAAATTATCTATCATTAGTTAAGTAGTAGAACGTCTTCTGAGGAATAATTCTGTTTTTGGCGCACTTGAAGGAGATTTTTCTCTCACATGCCTATTCATTTGATTATAAATTGAAGAGCTGCTTGAAAACCACATGTTCCCATCCCACACACACACACACACACACCTGTAGCATGTTTATCATGTCTTCACAGCTGCGTTGTTGGGCCACATCACACAGTTTGGCTGTAATATCAATCCGGCGGCAGATGTCCATGTCCACCCGCATGGCCTTCTCCTGGATCTTGGAGTCCAGCTCTGACAGGTTCTAGAAGAGAATTCGGGAGACATTTTATTGAACGGATGGTTTTTTTTATGAGCAAGATATTTCACAATGATTGTCAGTACAGCTGAGGACCATCTCTGTCCAGAGTGAGCTTTTAACTAGAACTAGCGCATACGGAAAATGTTACACGGTCCCCGCACTGTAATCACACGGTGATGGCGGTAGAGAAGGAACCTACAATTTTCCTGATTGTTTGTTTTAAGAGAAGGGATTTTGCATCTGTGATTGTGGCTCTTGTAACTGTTTCCATTACGCAATACATTTTTGTGCTGCATACTATCTGAGCTGTTTTTTTTAAATCAAAGACTATCAGGGTTATTCACAAAAGGGTGACGAGTTTGGAGAAGGCATGAGAAGTTAGGAATCTGGGACAACATAACTGAACTTAAAGGGGGCTGAATTGGAGACTTTTTCCAAATCAGCTATTTTTGCCTAAATTGTTCACTTCTACGGCCTTCTCCAAACTCTTCACCCTTTAGTGAATAGCCATGTTAAAGTTTATCAGCTAGTCTGTCTCTTCCCAACGCTATCCACATTTTTTCCCCAAAGGTTTTGGATAGAGTGTGGAAGGGCTATAACCCATTCCAGGTTTTTATTGTTGTCCTTGCTGGCTACATTCACCTGCTCTATTTGTCCTGGTGACCATTGTCGCTGGGACAGAAGTGATGGGAAATCACACATTTTACAGTTGTCATCAGAACAAGAGTTAAGGGTAAATCTTCCAATGGGGACACATTTCTTAAACTAGCCATACACCTGTAAATTATCTGCATATTTTTTATGGTCAGATGGAAAAAGTGCAACAGATTCCTCCATCTACGCTAAACTGAGTGGATGGAGGAATCTTCCACTGGGCCAAGCTTCAGTATCTTGCTAGTCGGCCCCGCTGGCTCTCAAAACACCTGAACATTGCCTGCATCCAATCAGATTGTTAAGGTATTTTGACAGCCAGCGGGGCCGACTAGCAAGATACTGAAGCTTGGCCCAGTGGGAGATTCCTCCATCCGCACAGTTTAGCGCAGATGGGGGAATCTGTTGCACTTTTTCCATCTGACCATAGAAAATCTGCACATAATCTACAGGTGTATGGCCAGTTTAAGTCTATTTCTCCTCACTTTGGACAGGAAATGAAGGGAAGTGTGTTTCCCTAAGGGAAACAGAGCTGGAAAAGAAATGAAAGGTGAACCTACTCTATCCAAAACTTTTATTCATTTTCTGTATATTTTCTTTTGTTAGGAATAACCTTATATGAACAGAAAATTAACCTGTGAAATGTATACAGCGGAGAAACCGACTTTCATCCTTGTTCAACTAATTTTAACCAGCAACTTTTGCTTGTTTCCATGTGATATCTACCTGAACAATGTACTTCTTGTCATCCACAATACACCTTCTATAATATATACAAAGCCCTCATGAAGGAGGAACCTCTGAACCCCCAAGTCATGTTGGCTGTTCCTAAAGGAGAACTATGGGGTAAGTGTTTTTCCCCATAGTTCTAAGGGTTACGAAAGGACAAACTAGCGTCCTCCTGTGACCCAAAGCTCAGTATATCGCGAGCTACAGCTCGCGGTATACTGAGACGCCGCAGCCGGGACAGATCCTGACATTACGGCCGAGATCCACACAGCTGCGTGATTGACAGCTGGCTCTGCCTATCTAGAGGCAGAGCCAGCTGTGCCCGCCCCCTCCCCCGTCCGTTCTGCCATTTAGCAGTGGAGGATCAGAGCGGGGAGGGGGGGAATCCCTGCAGGGAGCCGTGAGTGACAGTCATGGCTCTCTCTCCCGGGACATGATCGAGAAGAGAGCGAGCGACGGTATGTGTTCGCTCACTTCCCGATCTATTGAGCCGACGTGTGACAGTTTCATTGTCACACGTCGGCTCAAAATATGAGGCTGAGTGTAAATCACTCGCCTCATAGTTCTCCTTTAATGTATATTGCTTTCTATTAAAATTTTTAAAGGACTGTGCACCTTATTTTGGAGCTTACTTTTAAGCTATAGCACACTAGGTCAACTTAGTTTGGAAATTTCTCTAATGCCTGTAATCTGGTGCTCTGGGAAATCTATCTCTTGAGCCTTCTGAATGGGCAACCTGGGTGTTCCAAACCCTCGCATTTCTATTCCAAGATATACAGTTGGTACCACACAGAGCTACGCAACCGGAATCTGAAGTCCATCAGAAGCCCAGAACCCAGAACATTTTTGGTGCCTTTGAAGAATATAAATATTAATAAAACCCAGCCAAAAACTTTGCTTTTTTTGGGGTGGAGTGAGGCAAGGAACCTCCGCCAAGTTATTGCTTGCTACTATCTTTTTCCCTTTTAGAGAGAATTTCCCTTATTTCCTGTGTGGTCACCTGGAAGTGAGCAGAATCTCTCCAAGTGAGTAGAATCTCTCCAAGGGGCATAAAGACACAACTAAAAGTCCTTTTAAGTAAGCTGGGCTCTTCAGGCTGTAAACACTGCCAGAAATGTGATTTATATTACATACACAGCAGGGCCTTGTTTATATATTAAAACCATCTATCATAAGAGGATCACAGGAACATCAATGATATAACTGATTGTTTTTGTGCTACTTATAATGAGCTTCATCACTGGAAATGGCCTGGGAGGATAAAACATCACGTGTTCCATCGTTTCTTACATAATCTGCAGTCACAGTCTGTTTGGCGATACGTGTTTTTAAAAGAAAGTGTGCCAAACCATTTTTATCTTGAAAGCCCAACAGTGAATTTCTAGCAGCTAGTAGTTTATTTATGACAGCCTACATCAGTGGTCCCCAAAACTGCATCCTGCAGGCCAGATGCAGCCCTTTGCTTGCCTTTAACTGACTCTTGGGGTACTATTACTCCCACTGACACCAGCAATGGGGCACTATTCCTACCACTGATACCAATGATGGGACGCTATTTTTCCCACTAATACCAATGATGGGGCACTATTCCTCCCACTGATACCAACGATGGGACACTATTCCTACCACTGATACCAATGATGGGGCACTATTCCTCCCACTGATACCAACGATGGGGCACTATTCCTACCACTGATACCAATGATGGGGCACTATTCCTACCACTGACACCAACGATGGGGCACTATTCCTCCCACTGATACCAACGATGGGGCACTATTCCTTCCACTGATACCAATGATGGGGCACTATTCCTACCACTGACACCAACGATGGGGCACTATTCCTCCCACTGACACCAACGATGGGGCACTATTCCTCCCACTGATACCAACGATGGGGCACTATTCCTACAACTGATACCAATGATGGGGCACTATTCCTACCACTGACACCAACGATGGGGCACTATTCCTCCCACTGACACCAACGATGGGGCACTATTCCTACCACTGGCACCAACGATGGGGCACTATTCCTACCACTGATGTCAACACTGGGGCATTTTTGTACTCCCACAGGCCCCTGAACATGAGGCATTTTTGACTCCCACTGACCACTGATAACAGGGCATGTTCTACTTTTTTTGGCCACAATCTGATCTGAAGGTGTGTGTATAATGGACCCGGCAGGTGGACAGGAACCCATGTGGAAAATTCTCCCTGCTGGAGTCTTCAAAAGATGTTGGTGAGTGAGTCATCCAAGCAGCATCCACCCATGCCTAAAATATTACCCTTTAACTGCACTCTCAGATGAGCTGAAGAGATAACACATAAAAACAAAAAGGGATAAAAAAAAACATTTTCATGGCGTACTCACATTGCTCATTAAGCCCTTGAAGACCACAATTTCGGCCTTCAGCTGTTTGACCTTCATGGCTAGTTCCTCCTGGTACAGGGCAGAATCCTGAGCCTCCTGTATGGAGAGAGGGCAGACACAGAGGGCAATATCAGTAACAGAATGTGGGAGGTGGACAAAAGTATTTCTGTAGCTACATGGGCATACAGTAACTTTTATAATAGGCTAAAACAGAGCAATATGACCTCTGGTACTGACAGGAACCAGTAAGAGTTCACCTTTAGGATGTCTGGTTCTTTAAATCATTTTTAAATAACCATTTTATTGAAGGCATAAAAACATATCCAGCAAGGGAGCAATGCCTGGGGTATGCCTGGCGGCCATGGGTAATGCAAGACAGGCGCCTCAAACACTAGACGGGAAATAGAAGACATCCTTGGTATCTAATGAACACCCACCCCCACATATATGTATGTAACCTGAGTTTGGTAACTTTATTTATAATTTGTCATAATAAGGTAAGGGTCTAACCAAAGTTGAATACCAACGCGTTTTAGAGGTTATGTACAAATCCCCCTTCATCAGGGCTTAGATTTATCGTGTGATAGGGGCTTTGATAGGTGTTTTTTGGGGGAGGATTTAATTTGCTTGGTGAGCTGGGTTTAGAAGCTTGCTCAGTTGTCTGGCAGCCAGACAACTTCTTATCTGGAATTCATATATGAACCAAACCCTACGGCTTGGCGCTTTCATCCCTTTGCTCCATACAAGCTGATTCTCCCAGGAACCCTATAGGGACACTATAGAAATAATTTACTTCTTTAGGACCTCCACCAAGCTTGCAGCCCTGCACGCTACCGCCATTCAGGGCCGCTTCACATCATATCCAGTGCATTCCAGCATGGTTCATGTCCGGAATGCACTGGATCTCATAAACCAAGCCTCCCATGTTCTGGGCCGGGCGTGGGCGTGGTGGTGCCGTTCATGTCAATGGCACCACAGACACACCTCCCTTGGCTGGAACACACTGGATCGCATAACCCAAGCCTCCTACGTTTTGAGGTAGGAGGGGGCGTAGTGATGCCATTCATGTCAATGGCACCACAGGCACACCTCCCTCCTGCAGTCTGCTGCAGTTTGATCGAAAAAAATAGTGCCGGCTTGCATGCACCCTCCCTCCCCAGAACGCGGGAGGCTTGGTTTATGTTGATCCCAGTGGCGTAACAATCACCATAGCGACCCAGGCGGCCGCTTGGGCACAGGGGGGCCCGGCCAGGACATCCCCCTGATGCCGCGCGGGCCGCCTGGGTCGCTATGGCATTTCAGGCTGCTGGCTCCAGTGCGTTCTGGGCATGAACCATGCCGGAAAGCACTGGAGATGGTGTGAACCGGCCCATAAGCCTGTAGACCTGACTTTTCTTTAATTACAGTTAATTAATACAGCTAGGTCTAAGCATGCAGACTTATGGGTCCTTTCACTCTCTATTTACTTTGCTCTTTCCTGCTAATAACATGTTACTTGTTAGCACATGAGCAGTGCAGCATAACTGATTGGCGCTTAGTGCTGGTGCTTTTTCTTTTCATCTGAGCTCTGCTGTACATGGGCTTGAAAGAGACTAAAACAGCCAAATCGAGGTATTTACACATTTAACCCCTCCACTTATAGACCTTTGTGTGTAAAACTAGAAGAAGAACTAAAGAAGGAGAGGTAGGTAGAGGAGTTGCTGAGAGCAATGGCAAGACTCTCCGTAGCCCTCATACCCTTCAGCTATCTCTTCCTTCCTGCCAGGTTCTTGGTAGGTGGACTGTATTTTTTTAGGGATGCACAGATACTTTTCGAGTACCAATGCCGATACTTGGCATTTTCAGGAGAACTACCAGGGTTGCAGCGGTTGCAGCTGGGACCTGGCTCTGGCGCTCCACCACTGTCCTGAAATCATTAGTCTGTATTGTTTTAGAAAAACTGTCACATGACAATAAACAAAAATGTATCAGTAGTTGTATCTGTGAGTACTTGGACAAGTATCAGTACTTGTAAAACTTGCATCGGTGCATTCCTTTATTTATGTTTCTAAAAACAAAATCATACATAAAACAGAGATGTACAAATCCCGGGAGCTCCGTGTGCTCCTTACAAATCACAGCTGCCTCCTAACATCTGAATGGTTCTCTAGTCTAGTCTTGGAGATGGAAAATTATCTGTACTTGTACTCGTACCAAGTACGGTACATGGTATTGGTGCATCCCTAATTTTAATGGTATTTGTGAATTTAACACAAACAGTGAACTTTCACTAAGCGACATGTTGATTGAAAAATAGCAAATTCCGGCACAAAATTTTACCAAAATCCTCTGTATGTGCAGCGATGGGATTATTATATTATGAACAGGTTGGGTTGGAAATGTAAAATAGTGAAGATTTCCTGCTTAGGATATGTTGAAGGATGCAGACGAGACGCCATTAAAGCTGAGTAAGAGAAAGGGTTAGGCACTGCAGTCGGCCATATCTGAGATGTACACATATATCACATTCTAAGGAAGATTCAGCCTCACCTCATCCAGCTCCGCCACTCTCTGCTGCAGCTGTACGCGAGCGGAATATTCCTCCTCCCATCTAGTAGAAAAAAACAGAATCAGGAGAATCACATTTATATAGACATACAAGAAGGTTGGAGGAGGCCATTTAAAGGAACAATCCACTCTCAGATGGCTTTAACATCAAAGTCTCTGGATGCCCTTCTGCGATTTAGTATAGAGTTTATTTATTTATTCATTTAATAGCTTCCGTGTATTTTTTTTATAACTCTGTTTATTGATATCAAACAGTTTATAAAGTTACAGAAATGTAAAAGGTGTTACCATGAGTACCAAGATGTCTAAAAGGAGATAACAGCATGCAAGAATAAAAACCATTCACAGTCCCATGTGAATCATTGCAATATGTATTTTGTTATATCATACATAGAGGTAAACATACATCATATGTGGCATTCGGACCGGGGCAGGTTATCTCGTTCTGAGTATCAAGCTGCCTGTACACCAGTAGAATTTTATTAGAAATGCTGTTGCGACGACGTCACGCGCATACACAATGACGTCACCGTGGGGTATCACCTGATACCCGCACCAGGGGTCACCCCGCCTCAGGACGCCTCTGTCTCCAACCCAGAACAACACAGTGTATGTAGCTTCATATTATTTTTGCATTGCTGTATAATGTATTGCTGGGCTTTGTAGTCCTCTATAGTCTGTCTCCTTACTCCCTCCCCTGGCTGCCGCTCCTCGCTCTCTCCCCTATATTCTATTGTGTCTGCAAACCATGGCAAAGATATGAATATCTATAGAAGAATTCGTGGGGCAATTCATACTTCTCTTGTAACTGTATAAAGGGTACATGGTGCCCTCTTGATATACATCTGAGAGAGTTACAATGCCATGTGATGACCATAGTGCAGTGTCAGGAATTATACAAAGTTGTTCCAAAATAAGAAGAGGCTCCTTGGCAGATCCTGAAAGTACCCCAGTGGTTTGACCTAAGGCCACGTTGATATGACCAGCCTTAGAATGGGAGATTCCATGTATTTTTTTAGCAGCCAAGTCATACTACATAGGCAGAGGAGTCGCCCACACGTGTCGCAATCCCATCCTTTGACTCATCAGATCATACAATATTGATATGACGTGGAATGAATATTAACGTGTATGCAAAGCCATACACGTTATTTTTTTTTTATTTTTAGGGATAAAACCTATCAGATTATGTTGCTGTCTGTCCCCTTGGGGAGATTCCTTTCACTTCCTGTCCCAGAGACACAACAGGGGTTCTAGTTAGGGATGCACCGATATATCGGCCGCCGAAACATATCGGACGAAAATTGAACTTTTGGCTAAATGCAGAAAGTGCAATTTTCCTGCCGACACAGCGCCGCATCCCTGCTTTCTTTCCTCCCTGCTGGGCGATGCTCTGTGTCCCAGCGGGGGGGGAGAGAAAGTGTCACAGGCAGCCGAGCACTGCCGGAGGAGAGCACTGTGAGCGGCCGGCGTCTCTCCTCCCACACTGCTCAGCCTCCTATCACAGTCCGTGTGGGGGTGGAGACAGCCCGCGCTGTCACAGGAGGCAGAGCTCTCCTCCCTACGCCACTCACTCAGCCTGCAGTGACAGCGTGTCAGAGAGGAGAGTAAGGAACAAACACTCGGTGATCAGTGATCGCTGAGTGTTTGTGCATAATTGAGGACAGAGTATGGTTACTATATACTCAATTATGAATGAATGGGAAGTGATCTACATCACTTCCTGTCATTTCGGTTTGGTTTCGGTTTTTAAATTTCTATTTTGGTGCACCTCTAGTTCTGGTACTATAAAATTGCTTTAATTTCCATACATACACTCGGCATTACACTGCTGCACAAACATTTTTTCCCCCCCGCGCTCTTGATAAAATACAGCGCGCGTTGTAGTCAGTTTTTTTCCTCCGGACACTTCCTGGGCCTCTGACACCTTACGGCAAAACAAACGGCTCTTCCCTTTGAAAGTTGTAATACAAACAGCGTGCCCTTGTCCGGTGGCTTTCCTCCAATCAGAGCGCCTCGTGCTTTCTGTCCCCCCGGGGGAAAAACAGCGCAGGTGCAAGAATGGAATTACAGGACGAAACAGCCACGGGCCACGCGGCCTAATCTGCTGAGGAAGCATCTTTCACCTGCTGTTATGAACGTGTCGGATACAAAGAGCAGGAAGAGCATGTGTCATGGAAATCAGAACCATTGCGGATAATGACTCTTATCACAGCTCTGATGTTAAAGGGAAAGTACCGCGCGGTTTCGGTGCACACATCATTATAAAACACAAATGCAACCAAAAGGTTATTTTTTTGTAAATGTTGAGAAGCATACATACTGTATAGTATTTATTTCTGTCTGTGACACCACTGGGGAGATTTAATTTTATTTCCTGTTCCTGTGACACCAGTACAAGAATTGGGGGAGCGGTTGTCACCAGGTCGGAAAGGCACAGAGTAGTTAATCTAAGCTCCTGGTGCACAACTTGTGGCCTGAGGGCCGCATGTGGCCCTTTGGTAGTTGTTGTTCAGCCATTTGCAGACCCCAGCAGCCAGTGGTAGGAGATTTGATTTGTAAAGGTGCTGTAAGAATAGTGATCCTATAGTTTCCCTGTATTGTCCCCAGTCTCCAACAACACTTGTGCCATGTCTGCAGTCCCCAACAACACTAGGGTTGCCACCTTTTCTTCAAGCGAAACCCGAACACTCTTGCGACGAGCGGACATTTTTTTGGGAGAATGAGTCGTGGCTTATTCATATGTAAATAGCGCCGCCCATTAATATGTAAATATCACACTTGAGACTATTTCCAGTGGGGGGCCAGTAGCCCCTATCTTAATTTTGGTTGCCCCTGTCTGCCTAACATCTTGTGTCCGAGTTTCTGCTGCCATGAAACCCGGACACAGCGTTCAAAACCGGGACTGTCCGGGTGAATCTTGGACAGGTGGCCACCATAAACAACACTTGTGCCATGTCTGCAGTCCCCAACAACACTTGTTCCATGTCTGCAGTCCTCAACAACAACACTTGTGCCATGTCTGCAGTCTCTGCCATCTCCTATAGATGGGCAGAAGCCTCTAGGGGTGTCACCTTTTCTTTCAGCGAAACCCAAACACTCTAGCGACACGCGGACATTTTTGGGGGGAGAATGAGTTGCAGCTTATTCATATGTAAATAGCGTCATTCCTATGTAAATATCACAGTTGAGATTATTTCCAGTGGGGGGCCAGTAGCCCCTATCTTAATTTTGGTTGCCCCTGTCTGCCTGACATCATGTGTTCGGGTCTCAGCTGCCATGAAACCCGGACACAGCATTCAAAACCCGGACTGTCCGGGTGAATCCTGGACAGGTGGCGACCCTAACCGTTGCCCTGGACCGGCTTTCTGTAAGTGACAACAGTGGACCATACCTAAGCAATGTTGGCACGGCCGCTTATAGTCTCCACCAGAGCAGCGTGTGACAACAGAAGAGCAATTGGGAGAAGGGAGAGAAACAATGTCCCCCCCCATGCCAGCAAGTACCGCAACCAGGACCTTCATGGCGGGATCGCCAGGTATTGTTTTCATAAAATCTACAGAATTACACAGAATGAAAATAACTTTTAGATGCGAGGACATTGCAGTGACGGGGTTTAGATTTAAAGGAGCGGTTAACCAATAGTGAGCCGTTATGCCTGCGGCCCGCTGTGAATTCCTGGCATACGAGGACATTTCTGTGTAGTGAGTAAAGTCGTATTTGAATAGAAGGGGATTCCTGTCCAGACCCATCACTGCCCCGAAATACTCAGCAGGAAACCTGACACTGGTATACGGTTAGACATGTATGTGTACGTTACAGTGACCGCTACGACGCGACTGCGTCTTCTGGAATGCTCAACAAATAATCGAAATTGTAACTGTCAGAATTTAAGTCCATTTAAAGCCGAACTCCGGACACAAATATCTCATTTACATATATTCCTCAACAGCCACAAAGGATACAAATCCACTTTATGTGCGCCAAATGCCTTTGTAAACCCAGATATGATCATGTAAATGTGTCAGTGACATCATCACCGTGCTATACATGGTCTGTGCAGAGAGCAGAGCTGTGGGAGGGGCCCTGTACAGGCAAACACAGGAGGGGCAGAGACAAGACCAGTCACCCAGCACAAGGAGAGAGAGAAGCAGTGACTGGTCTTTATCATAAGAGGGGGCGGAGACAAGACCAGTCACCCTGCACAAGGAGAGAGAGAAGTAGTGACTGGTCTTTATCATAAGAGGGGGTTGGAGAGAAGACCAGTCACCCTGCACAAGGAGAGAGAGAGAGAGAGAAGTAGTGACTGGTCTTTATTACAGGATAGGGCGGAGACAGGACCAGTCACCCTCCACAAGGAGAGAGAGCAGCAGTGACCGGTCTTTATTACAGGAAGGGGCGGAGACAAGACCAGTCACCCTGCACATGGAGAGAGAGCAGCAGTGAGCGGTCTTTATTACAGGAAGCTCCAAGTCTCACACTGGATTACTGCAGAGATCTGGAAGAAATACACAAAGCTCACCAAGATTTAAAGAATAGAATACACATTACAGATTTCGACGAGTTGAAGCTTTCGATAGAACACCGGCACTGCAAAACTAAAAATAAATCGGTATTTCCATACATTCTATCCCGCTCCTAATAACCAGATCCATCTAGAAGTTTGTAAACATACTTATTGAAGATGCCCATAGAATGTACTTCCTCAATGCCCTGACACCATTTCACTCAGCGCTGTGAATATGGACTTCATGGTGTCACCACTCTCACAGAGCCTGCCTTCTGAACTACAACTCAACGTCTGAACAATGTAACCTTATCATTGCTTGCTGGAAGCAATGCTTGATGGGAAATGTAGTCTTAAGAAATGGAGATTGGATCATACCCTGTTTCCCCGAAAATAAGACCTACCCCGAAAGTAAGACCTAGCACTATTTTTCAAGATTCCTGTAATATAAGACCTACCCCGAAAATAAGACCTAGTTTGGTGGTAGCATGTGAGGGAGAACTGGAAGAGCAGGAGAGATGGTATCAGCCTGCAGGGACATACTGTATTAAGGGGATGACAGGGGACTCCCTCCAGACAGCGCAGTGACAGAGAGCACTCCAGTACCAGACTTCACTAACTGCTGTCCCCCTGAAGGCACTGCTTAATGTAATGGTACTGTACTGTACTGTAATGTGTACCGGTAAATGGTACCATACTTTACCACGCTGTCCACTGTCTGATGTCCCCACTGCTGCACCGCTGGTACCACTGTCCCTGGTGGCATAGGAAGCCAGCGCTGTAGAAAGCAAGGCTGCGGCGGCTAAGGGAGCAGAGCCGCATTGGCCGATATTCCTCTAGAGCGCCAGTTACTGTGACAGGTGGAGTGATACCAAATAACTTTGGATTGTTGTACATTTTGTTGCACATAAAAAAAAAAAAAATAAGACATCCCCTGAAAATAAGACCTAGTGTGGTTTTTGGGGGCAAACAAAATATAAGACAGTGTCTTATTTTCGGGGAAACACGGTACCAAGCAGTGGGGAAAGAGGAAGACACACTTCCTGTGAATCCAGGAAGTTGTTGAAAGTGATGGACAGACGGAAGGCAGCACTCATTAGATAAAAGTAAGCTTTGATTGCATTATCAAAAACAATTCCTACAGTATTACAATGCTGTTGTCATTATTAGAGTGTAAGCCCTCAGGGGCAGAGCCCTCCTTACTATCTTGTCCTGAATTGTATTGTGATTGTAGTGTCTTCCTTATATTGTAAAGCGCTGCGCAAAATGTTAGCGCTATATAAATACTATGTAATAATAACAGGAGAGTATGTGCTGGGACTTTACAACTCCTTTACATTGATGTTTACATCTCCCTTTTGAATGAGTTGTTCATGTGGCGGTGGCACATGCGCAGAGTGACCTGGTCCTGATTCTGGATGACCGAAGGACGGGGGCATTCTGCGCATTTACCGCCGCCATATGAACGACTCATTCAGGGGAAGATGTAAACATCAATAGTGTATAATCAGCAGCCGCAGCCGCCGCTGCTGGATACACATTGTTGATATTTACATGTTGGTCCTGAGCAGCGGTGACGGTGGCCAATAGGGTCCGTGTACGCTGGACGCATGTAAACATTGGCACAAACTTATACATGTGCACAGTGTAAAAATACATCCAAACACAAGGACGTAAATGCAGGGATTTCTAGTTTTGCTTGTCAAATGCTAGGGACCAATGTGCATGGGCCCATAGCATACAACACATTGTATGCCTGCATGCATGAGACATTAAAAATGACTTTAGAAATGACATTAATACATTAATAATTCTATAATTTGGGTTTACATCTCCTTTAACACATCGGCTACATTGCCTGCTTAGCACACCAAACATCATGGCCGAAATGGCTAAAGCTTAATAAATAAAGCAGCAATGAAGAAAGGCCTAACTAAAAATCAAAGACATGTCAGTTTAATAAAATCAGATTAGAAAATAATCAATTCTAACCGGTTGCTATGGGTTACCATGTGACTCCTGAGAGTGTGTGGCCTGCATAGCAGAGACTAGGCCTTGTTTATAACAATAGGTTGCCCATAGCAACCAACCAGATCCCTGCTTTCCTTTTACAAACCAGCATCACTGGAAGTATGGTCGGGTTGCTCAGGCATTCACTGATGGTGATTTATCTATACGGGGGCCCATGGCGACCAATCAGCATCTTTCTTTCATTTTCAAAGCTTAACTAAACAAACCGAAGAGAGAAGCTGATTGGTTACTATGGCCGACTGCTCCAGATTCTATCTGCTCCAGTTTTGATACATTCCCCCCAGTCACGGTGTCGGCCTGGTTTGCCATGATCAGAGCACCACCTATTCGTCCTGTTTACACAAGTCAGCATACGTGTCAACAATAAACCGTGATTTATGGGCCGAGCGGTATGACTAAAGGAGAGGTGTTCTCTCTTATTTATCACTCCCTGCAGCACTGGACTGCACTCTCCTCTCCCCGGTTATACAGCTGTTCATAACTTTTTGCTGAATTGTCAGTTCCGTGAGCTGATGCCGAGATTAATGGCATCATGGCGACTGGGCGTTCTTTTTGAACGCAAGCGGATGCATTCGAAATAACAAATGCAAAATTTTATATGAAAACGCTGCGTTTCACCTGCTTTGGCTGCAGTTCATGGTAGAACATGCTGCACCGCACAGAAACGCTGTGCAACACAACACCACGCAGGTCAAATGAAACCACTGAACTGCCATGTTTACTTCAATGCGGGGGGCTGAGTTTGTCGTGAGTTCATGAATGCCCATGAAACGCGGGAAAAACAAAGCCCATCCACTGTGTGCGCCAAGCAGACACCTAGGCTTGTGATAATCAGTTGCTGTGACCGATAATGGCTGGGTACGGGAACGATCAGATTTTCTTATTCTTTAGCTGCAGTCAGGGCCGGATTAACTCTTTCTGCTGCCCACAAGGCCAGGTTCCTCAATGCGCCCCCATACCCGCCAAACCAGAACACCGGGAGTGCCAAGGTTGCCTACCCCTGTCTTACTCAATAAAGTCGTACACAGAGCATTAATCTGTATGCAGAGTATATAAATGCCTATGTAACTTTGGCACTCCAGTTGTGCTTAAAATATAACTCCCTTTATGCCTTTGGGAGTCATGTGGCTGTCAGAGCTTCATGGGACTTGTAGTTCCACAATAGCTGAAGAGCCGAGGTTGCCTACCCCTGGCCACTAAAGGGAGCTCAACATCTGTTATTGGTATCACACATATGTAAACAACACAAGCAGATCTTGGGCCAGCTTGGCCTGGCACTGGAATTTAAAACTCAAAGCAGCAAGCAGAGAGTGCTGGTCACTACTA